AGTGCAGGTGGTACCTAGAAAGATTAAGTGTATGTAGTATACTGATTATCCTTGCTCTCAAGGTGATTTCTAGAAAAGAGGCAACAGAGAGAATAAAGAATGGCCACAGGGAATTCTGAGACCACATAAATGGTTTCCCTATGAGAGGAATACTTGGTCACGGATCATATATCTAGAATAAGAAGAACCCATAAAAGACCTGATCACCAGCTCCATCAGGTTGGGATAGAGCTTTCAGGCACTACTAAGAGTAACCTCAATAAGAAGTTAGAGAAAAATGTAGCATTTAGTCATAGGCTCCAATAATGAGAGCATGTTTGAAATTACTCCAGTACAGTCTGATGTTTTGAGCAGCTATTCTCTCCCAGAAAACTATACCCCTAATTTTCCTAACCATTAAACTTAGAGTCCATATGAAGTCTCACAGGCTCTTTAAACCCTTCTCTGGTCAAACTAAAGCAAAAGGTAATAGACTAGTGATTCTCAAGGTTCCTAACACTGTGGCCTTTTAACGTAATATTTTATACTGTGGTGAACGCCCAATCACAAAATTACTCCATTGCTATATCATAACTGAAATATTGCTACTATTATGTATTGTAGTGTAAATAATTGTTATGTATGATATTTGATGTGCATCCCTCCCAAAAGGAGTAGAAACCCACAGGTTGAGAAACACTGAAATAGACTGTCTCTTCTCTTAAACAGATTTCTAGAGTTGCAGTTGTCATGAGGCATTATAATTTACTGGATTATGTAATTTCCTCCTCTTCTATAACTTGACAAGAAACCCTTTAAGCAAGGATTCCATCTTAATTTACCTACATACCCTTTACCTGAGGAACAGTAGATATAAGACAATTTGTTGAATTCCACTAATATTTTGATATATTTGCTTCTTTGACTAAAGAATACCGTATGAAGCATTCTTAAAACATGATTGAGTGGCATTTCTGTAATATATTAATAGAATCACTGAATAGTTTATGAAGCTATCAAAATATAAACCACGTTGACATGTGTCTCTCTAAGTCTTAAATAAGAGAACACATAGAAATACAGATGTGTAGTACTCTGCTCCAATTGGTCAACCATGCAGATGCTAACTCTCCTGAACTCATTTTGCACTCAGGATAGTGTTCTTCATGTACCATCTTATGCTTCTGGCATCTCATTTCCCTTTCAAACCCAAATAAATACACCATTTCTACCCCCTTATCATGTCAAACTTCTATACCAGTGCTATTAATCACCCCTACATGACCCCAAATCATGGTGTCTTTTTAACTCATGTGGTTATTTCTTGATTTTGTGTTTCATGTAACAAGTTGAATGTCCCTCATGAATCTCTGCACTACCTTGTTTCTGGATATTCTGTTTTGTTAGTCTGTGATTTCTCCACTAAGCTGGAAATATTCTTCCTTATCCTATTTTTGTGTGGACTCGTTTATACAAATCCTCCTCCTCCAACTCTTGTGTTTTAACCTAAAGAACCTTTGTGACGTCATCTACTGCTGTACTTAAGATAGCATCAATTGTATGTTATATTTATAAAACCTGCATTATTTATACATATCACAAAAATCACTAAACCATCTATTTTAGATTTGGTTTATAACTTTAACTCAATTCCTTGGTCATTGTGTCTATTATTCAAGCATGAATATGGTAGTTCCACTAAATTATTTCCTTAAGAATACATTTACTTGACCAGAAAGTACAGTTCACACGCACTAAATCCTGGCTCTCAAATGCGTCAGGTTTTGAATGCCTTCTCTAAGGCCTCTGCATCCCTCCATGAACTATTGCAAAAGGCTGTTGATTGATTTGTCACTGGTTCGGGTTTACATCACATTCATACTCCATTTTCCACACTTCTACCAAAGAATAGCAATTTCATATACACATACATTTGATTTGCTAATCTAATTAAACCACATTAGCAAAAGTCTCATAACTTAATGTGATGAATATTAAATTTTATATCTCAACTCATTTACCTTGAATAATAAGCTATGCCCTAAAATTCTAATCTAAGATGTACTCTTATCATTTTCTATTCTATTCCATTCAAACTCTTAAAACGAATTCTGGCCACTGGTTTTTGTCGATTTTTTTCTGACCCACTAACAGAATGACTTACCTATTTCAACTCACCTGTAGCTAAAGTTTGTCCTCAAAAAAATCCCTTCTAAATTGTTTTTGCCCTTTCCAAAAACAGAGGATTTAATTCACAAAATCACAAAGTCCTTTGACAAAAATTAAAATAAGTGAGAAACCAGATCAGTCTACTTTCTTAATTAGAGAACTAAAATGTGGGTAAATACATGAGTGGGAAGAAGGGTACAAAGAGTCTACAATTGTTAGTTCACGTCCAGTTAAGCCAGAGACACCACTGGGAACATTTTATTATGTTCAACTTAAGTTACGACTGGTTTCCACAACTATAGTTATATAAAGAAATTTAATTACTACAAAAGGAATGAGAAAGAAAAATAATGGTGGAATGATTCTCTAGCCCAGTATCATATTTTTAATCTCAGCACTGGGGAGATGAGGGCAAATAGATCACTGTGATTTTGAGAACAACCTAGTCTACACAGTGAATTTCAAGACAGCTAGGGCTACTTAATCCATGTCTCAATAATACCAAAAAATGCCTAAGTCTTAAATGTACAGGACAACCTTTGCTACTTTGTACCTAATATTCAAGAGAACATGAACTTTGGAATGAATGAAGCCAGTTAAAATGGAACTATGCAGGGCTTGGAGGAAGCTCTATAATACATGGATTGCCTTACATGTGCACAGCTTGGTTCAATCTCCAGAACTAAATAAATAAAATGAGGCAATCTGTAGCCATTGCAGTGGGCCAAGTGCTGGCTTCATGAGCATGAGGAGGTGAGCTCTGATGCCTAGCACCTACATGAAAACACCTAGCAAGGCCACCATGTAACTCCAGCACTAAATGGCAAAGAGACTGGAGGGTGGCTGACACTAACTGGCTTGCCAGCCTAGCACCTTATTTAGTGAGAGACCTAGTCTCACGTGGGTAGAGCTGAGAATAATAGAGAGGACACACCAGAACCTCTCCAGGCACGTGCACACACACTCACACCAGAAAGAGAGCAAAAAACGTAAGGTAGAGAGCGTTAGTAAAAAGACACCTGGCATCAAATCTGATCTTCACATTTATGAAGTTAAATATCTGCATACACCTGCACACACGTGTACAAACAGGAACGTGTACAGCTGAACTCACACACATAAAATAAAACAAAGCTATTCCAGTGTGTGTGTGGTGGGGGAGATAAACCTTTTAAATCAACATTAAGTTTTAAAACATACGGTATTCATAGAAGATCAAAAGTTTTCTGGGAAACAGTAAGACTAATTCCATCATAAGAAAAGGCATTTTTATGGTGAGAGGATTGTTTTAAAGTCCATACATGGTGACGCATGCCTGTCCCTCTATGGTGGGATACTGAGGCAGGAGGAGAGCTTAAGCCTAGGATTTTTGAGACAAGACTCAAAAACAATGAGATTCCTTTATAAGTACATGAAATAAAATACTATATAATGAACACAAATGTTTAAGTATAAAGGACATATGTACTTTAATCACTTGTGTATTTATGAATTTTTGCCTTCAGCAAAGCAATAATAAATCCTTTTTATTATAGTTAAGTCAAAACTACTTTACTTCCTGAAAAATACTGATTATGCAGAAGTTGATATTCAAGTCTTTTATTGAGATAAAATTGTTAGCACATCCACTAAGTGTCCTAACATTTGCTGTAAAATGTTATATCCTTAAGCTTAAAATGCTTAAAATTATTTGTTCTTGTACATAACATATAAACGTAAGAATTTCAATGGCCAAGCTGAAGGGGAAAGCCAAGAGATGATATCAAATAGATAATATACAAACTCCCACTTTAGATGTTCATTTTTGACTAGGTAAGAAGTGAGGAGCTTGCAGAGTACGATGGCACATGCAATACTCAGAAAAGATTCATATTGCACTTAGAAAACACTGATTTTTGTTTAATTTTCATCACTGCTAATAAAAACTTGCCATAGAAATAGTTGTAAGAATTTAATTTTCTCTTCAGAGACTTTTTTTTACCACTTCATCACTTAATTTTGACTTTGCATTAAAAAAATAATTCTAAGAGAGTTGAAGAGATGTAAAAAAAATGGATCTGAAGATGCATTTCTTCATAAGGTTTTTGCTATAAACTTTGGAAGGAGACATTTCCCAGCAGCAACTACGATGTTTCTCCTAAGGAAGTTGCTGCTGATTATGCATTTTAAAGAAATTTTCATCTTTTCTCACTAGGAAAATACTTACATTCCGAGGATTGAATGCATCGTGTTATTCTGCAGAGTTCCAATTTTTTTTTTAAACTCCTCAAACTGCATATGGGAAACTAGAAGTTTACCTATTCAATTTCTTCTCCCACCCTTGATGTTACCCTTTGTTGGTCATATTTACTCACATTTCTACCTACACCTAGGAATGCAATAAGAAAGATGAAACTAGATAGACATCCAGTCTCTTAAGATTGCCATTGAACAGTGTTGTTTAAATGGTGGACCACTGCTCGATTCCTCTCTAACACACCCCAGCCCCTACTTGGCATCCCATCTATACCTTGATCCCTCACTTCCTGGAGTCTAATGATCCAGGCCGTATGCATTCCACAATCAATAATAATAATAACTAAAAACTAAAGTCAGAGTTGCTGATACATTTCCCTCTCTTCTAATTAGTCTGCTTCCTGTAATATATTATAAACATCATTTAACAAGGATACTTTCCCCAGAGCTCCTGTTTACAGATAATTTCATCTAACTGAATAGTAGTGTCCTGTCTATTATACACACCAGAGAAACTAGTGTATGTACTCCCATATGCAATGTCATTAATACATCTGTAACCAGTGATCTGGGTAAGAGGTGACATTTTCAGTCAATAAAACCAATGCCATACTTACAGTGGTGGTTGATGGGGCTGGCTTTCAGCATTTCTTGGTGTTTTGCAGACAGCAGGCTTCGCCATGTCCCTGACAATACACCTGGGGCGCATGATAGATAGCACAACGCACTATTAATTATAAAAGGGTAGATCATATCTGGAAATTAAACACCGTACCGAAAACACAATCTAAGGGCAAATCTTGGTGAGCCCCATCAGTATTAACCTTGGGCCCTGAAAAGGCCCTGGAAGGTGAAATTATTTTAACTGGGTTTCCACAGGCTCAACTATACCCACATAAATTCTATGCTGGCCTCAATATTTGATTTTTTTTTTCAGCATCAATAATATGATTGCCAGCAGCTTTTCCCATAGCAGAAAAGCTATTGAAAGCCTTGGCCTCACCATGTGAAGACATCTGAGAGCTTAAAAATAGGAACAGCTGCTGTGTTGATAGGTTAAAAATCAAGCAGAGTTTTCTGTGGCTTTGGCTGTCTTACTAGAAGATATGGACTCTCTTTTCACATCATTAACCACCACATATGTTTTACTGCTTATACAGAACGAGATCTGAGGGGCCTCTAGATATCTCCCTTATTCCAAATTCCCTTCAAGCTGTACACACATGGGAAGTGTGTACAGGTTCATTTGCTGTACCTTGAGCCCTTCATCACAAAAATAAATGCAGAAGGTAGACAAGATAGCTAAGTTCCAAGGGAAGCAGGAGTTGATGATATTCTTACTCTCATGTTAACCGGGCTTAGAGCACTCCAGGGATCCGGTGGCCAATATCAGAAAACACCTCCATCTGAGACTAGACGTGAATGACTTAAGGTTTAAGCCGAACACAGCTTTAAATAGAGAAGCCTGGTTATGATACCGAGGCTTGACATCATAGACTTTGCTAGATGTGAATGTCCTGAGGTTCTAGCACCCCCAAGCATTAGCCTGGTCCTTAAGAACTTTATTGGTGATTTGGCTACATTACTCAAAATCAAGGCCAATCAGGCTACTTTAAGAGGTATCTGGTGAGACAGTGGTAATAAACTGTTTTGTCAGAGGAAAAGCTGCATGGCAAAATTCTCCACTTCTGAAAGAAATCATACAGGTAGACACGGACATGGAAATGTTCATACACAGACACACATTGCTCACTCCACCAGCAAGTACACTCTGAAATCAATACGTAAACATAGCGAGGGAAGAAAAGGAGCCATATGAAAGTCTCAGCACCTTCCTCCTGGTAGAAAGGCTCAATCTGGTGTTGCTGAATGGCCATTAGATGGTCAAGAGAGAACAGTGAGGCAGATATCCACGGGAACCACAAAGCTTATGTTGTTGTCACAGCTTCATGAAGAAGCTGTGCCAGCATTAAGACAACTTGCAGGAAGGCAGCTGCTAGAAGCCAGGGATGAGGGTTTCTCAGCCTTGGAACTCCAATCTCACTTTCACAAGGTGTAATGCCCAGTAACTTAAATTTCATAGCAGTGGGGGAAAAAAAAAATCTTTGACAATTTTCACTCATCCCGAAATAGCATATGCAGCCTGTTTGATCTACATGGGGCTGGCTTCTGAAAATACCACCAACTTGGAGAAGTTCTGAAGAATTTGAGAGTCAAAATCCTGTTTTTCCTCCCTGAAGGACCAAGCATTTATACAAAGCTTTCAAATAAGCCTGCCACATAGAGATTTTTCTTATTCTTTGAAGTGACTATTTTCTAAGAATTGTAGAATATTATACACCATGGGTAGTTTTCTAGGCCAAACCTTAAAAAAATGAAAGAAAGAAAAGAAAAAAGAAAAGAAAGAAAATAGAAAACTACAAAGCCATGTCTTCAGAAGAAAACTGTCATCTAATACCAAGACCCTGTGGTTTGGTTTTAATATTGTATCATTTGGGGCATATTTCTTCCATCTGCATTTGCTACCCTACCTTTCTGAAAGAGAGAAAAAAAAAACCTGATTTTCTGAATTTTGAAGCTTAATTAAATCATAAGCATACCAGTCTTCAAATACAATACACTTAGAATTAATTTTAATATAGGTATATATTTAAAGGCATTGCTGTATTTCTTTTTAGGTCTTGGAGGTTGAGCTTAGGCAAGCACTCTACCGTTGCTGTACCCCCAACCCTGCTTTTCACTCAATTGCCCAAGCTAGTCTTGAACTAACTCTGTAACCCAGGCTGCCCTGGAACCTGTTACCTCAACATCTCAGCTTCCTGAGTATCAGGGATTAGAGGTCAGTGTTACTAAACAAGCTAAATTTAGACAAAATTCTAAAAATACCAAGGCAGCATTGCATTCCCCATACTGATCTTTATCCACAAGACATATATTCCTTCGACGGATATAGCTAGTTACCAAATCTGACTTTTGAGGGAAGAAACAATTTGTTTCAGATTGCTAATTGTTTAGCCAGTTTAAAATGCCCTTCAGTCATGATGACATAGATTCCTGTATTTTTAAAATCTGAATTCATTTTAGATTAAAAGAAAAATCTTCTAAATACAAGAAAGTGAGACGAGACAGGGAAAGGCAGGGCAGATATTCCGTCATCTACTACTCTTGCTGAGTCCATGTTAGGTTTAACTGAATTTGAACACCTTGATGGAGAATCCAATGGAAGATGACCAAACTCCATTGGAGGAACCCAAGGTCAAGATGCCCAGCTAACTTAGCTTCTGTTAAACTTTATATACAAAACTCCCTCCAGCTAACTGTTTCCCTTAGCTCCTATTAAACTGCTTGCTCCTGCAAAGCACCCCCTTCAGCTGCCAGGGAGATGCTAGTATGTGTATTTTACCTTAAAAAACCCTGTGCTCTGAACACTCAGGGCTACATGTAGGTCCTCAAACACTTGGGCATATTTCCAGCTGGCTAGAATGAAGACTTTCAATAGGCTATGAACTGTGTTTGAGTGGTCATCTCTAATGGGATATCCATAACAAAAGAAAAAATACTCTATTCTCAGAACAAGAAATGTTAAATACATAATATTTTCAGAGGTTTTTGTTAGCCTATATAGACTAACAGTCCTCTGAAATTATAATCGAAATTTATCTCAGTTTGGAGAGTTACAATCTTAATATTTTGACAGTTTTAGATTATGGAATCGGTTTAGCTCAAGACATTAGACACATTACAATAAGGTCCCTTATCATTATGGTATTTCAGTGTGTTAAAAATCTCTCCATGATTCACTTCAACTACATATTCAGAGGCCACAAATCCTGCCACAATGCCTTACTTCTTAGAATCTTTACAATCGGAGCAAGATTTCAAGGCATTTGACCTCTAATTCTTTGTGATGTCTTCAATTACAGGATGAAAAATCAGATCTGAACTCTTACAGTCTATACTCAATTATAAGCATTCTCTTACCTCTCAAGCATCACAGAAGACTTATGCAAATAAGGCATTTGGCAGCCACCTAGGGGATGCTACTGCTGACCCCACCCTCTGCTTCGTTTTACAATGAATGCAATCAATTCAAGGATTGGCTGCCAACTGTCCACTCAGCCACTCTACCCTTCCATGCACATACACACAGGAGAGAAACTCATATTGCCCCCAAGTGTTTAGATAATACTAGGAAAGGCTTTCAGTTCTCCAAACAGCAGTGGTATGTGCTTCCAGATACTAGAATGTGTGAATTAAAACTTCTGAATGATTTCAATAAACAGAATTTACATAATCTTTCTCTCCCTCTCCCTCCTTCTTTCTCCTCTTCTTCCCTCCCTCCCCCCTCTGTTTCTCTCTCACTATGTTTCTCTCTGTGTGTTTGTTTCTCTCTGTGTGTGTTTCTCTGTCTCTGTCTCTGTCTCTTTCTCTGTCTCTCTCTCTCTCTCTCTCTCTCTCTCTCTCTCACACACACACACACACACACACACCTTTGACTTTCCATTTTGCTGCTTGCAATCACTACCTTCTATGAGGCTTCTACCTAAAACCATGATGACTAGTTTATAAAAATTTATCCAAATTTAGATTTTAAATTGTTTGATGTTTCATAGCTAACATCAGGCAACTACGTCCTGTGCTCTAAGCTGTTGTTAACAGACTATAGTTGTTGACAAGTTCATTTCCAGTCTCCTTGTTTTCTTATTATTAGTGGAAACAATCCCAGTTAAATAGCACAGGAGAAATAGGTATGCTTATGCCAGCTTCTCAGGTGTCAATGGACTTACCCATATTTGCCATAATAGCATAAGCATGGTTAAAATAAGGATGAGAAAATGAAATCTTTCAGACACACAGTCTTCTGATTTGCTGGCCAGAAAAAAAGCAATGTCGGAGGCATATTCACTGGCTTGCTTTCCTTCTCACCCTCAAAATATTTCAAGTTGCTCTCAACCACATCATTTACCACTAAGTACATAAATACATGCAAATTTCCTATCTCCAGGCTGGTTCTCCTTCTTAATCCCAGTCATACATGCAATTGCCTCTCTGGCAATATCTTACAGACTACTAAACAGCAACATCTCTTAAGTGATACGTCATTCCTTCAGACCTGATTCCCCTATGGGTATCTCTATCTTGGCTGGGAGGGAAAATCTCTCTGCAGCTGTTAGATCCAAACGTTGGACTTTGCTCCTCTTTTCCACACACTCTATACCTAATCTATTGTACCAACCAGATTTTCAAAGAGGGTCTACAATATGACTGTGTCTAATCTTCTCCACTCTATAGACATCTTTTTACCTCAATTCTGAACATGTTGTAATCATTTGGAATTCAGATGACAATGTGTTAGAGTTGGTTTCCTCCTTCCTGAAAATCATATTGGGGCATCAGACTTGAAAGCTAGTGCCTATACACACTGAGCCATCTCACTGACCCTAACCATAGATTTTTCGTGGGTTGCTCAGCTTTTACTTTTTTCATTTTCAGCAGAGACTCAGACTCTTTAAAAAATGATCCACATCCATGCAACAAAGACATGTGCTCAACTATGTTCATAGCAGCACTATTTGTAATAGCAAGAACCTGGAAGCAAATTAGATGCCCCTTAACTGAAGAATGGATAAAGAAGATGTGGCACAGCTACACAATGGAATACTACTCTGAGGGAAAAAAAATAATGGAATCTTGAAAT